GTCGTCGTCGTCGTCGACGACGACACGAATGAAAATTTTTTTAAAAAGACAAAAAAAAAAAAAACTGGAAAATGTCAACGATCTTTTATTTTTTCTCCAGTTTTTTTTTTATTTAAAAAAACCCACTTAGAATTTTTTTTTAGAAAACTTTTTAATGTTTTACGTCAAAAAAAAAAGAAAATTTTTTATTATTAAAGTTCATAATAAAAGAAGAAAAAAAAATGGCGTAATCAGAAAATGTTTTTAAAAAATTTTCTACTTGAGATTGTTTTTCAGATTTTCCAAACAACAAAAAAAAATTGATATTAATGAAAAAAAACGTTATTTAATTTTATAACAATTATCATCATCATCGTCATCATTCATAACAAAATTTTTATTCATAACTCAACGCGGAAACAAAATCAACGTAATTTAATATCATTATTATTATTACGAAAAAAAAATTTTTTTTAAACCTTAAAACCGATTATCATTTCATAACAACATTCCGATAGAATTCATAACTAAATCGAGTCGGTGGCGGTGTCGGTGGTGGAGGGGCAGGTGGAGGGGGGGAAAGAGAAAGAAAGAAAACCGGAAGTTGTAAAACCGGAAGTTGATTGTCAATACAATTATTAAAAATAAATTTTTAGTAAAAGAAAATTAATACAAAAAGAGTCATCGTCACCTTCTTCTCCTTTTACCACTAAATCAAAAATTATATCCCCGCCTTTTCTTCGTAAAATCCCTCCCCTTTTTCTCTCCCCCCTCTCCCTCAAGCATCCCATAAAATATTTTTAATTTCGAAAGTTGGTAGTAAAATAAATGACGTCATAATACCACTCATCATATTTTGATTTTCCTCTCTCTCCAAAATCCGCGTGTGTTTGTTATTGTTAATTTCTAAAAAAAAATTTTTTAATAATAATAATAATATTGTGAATTTATATTCGGACTCCAGGTTTGTCCAAAATTTTATTAGTTTATGACGTCATCACGTCGTCCCTCCCTGACACGTAAGAGAAAAAAAAAACATTTTCAGAGTTTTTTTTTGAAAAAAATAAAACAAAATAAATGAAATCGAAATCTTAGAAACTTAAACATAAAAATGTCTTTAAGCCCCCCCACATTCGCCTCCCCCCGCCCCCCATTTTTTTTTTACTAAATAAAAACAAGACGACGACGTTTTCCATCAATATTCCAAAACGAAAAAAAAAAAAAAAAATATTAAATTTCATGAACGCGTTGTCTTATCGTTTTTAATGATCTTCATTGAATTTTAACATTTTCTCCAGCTCCAGTTCCAGCTCCAGCCTCTTTTTAGACCATTGTTATGTTCTATCACTTACTATTTTATTTTTTTCTTATCCTTCTCCTTCTCCTTCTACTCGTCGTTAACAATAATAATAATAATAATGATAATGATAATGATAATAATAATTCAAATTTTTTTTTTTTCTTTTCATTTATTAAAAATATACGACGGCGTAACGACTTGCGACTCGGTTTTTAAAACCTATTATTAATTAATAATAATAATAATAACAACATAACATTTTAATGCGCGTGCGCGTAAATTAAAAAAAAAAAAATCGAATAAATTTTAACGAACCCAAAAAAAAAAAAAAAATATGTAATCTCGCAGTTGGAATCCATTTTGAATTTTTTTTTTTTTTTTATGTTTGTCACTGTCAATGTATTATTTATTTTTTTTTTAAGCAATTACGATTTCCGTTTTGCCTTTTCCGCTTTTTTTTTTTTTTTAATTTAAAAAATAATAATAATAATAATAAAATTGTTGTTGTTGTTGTTTCGATTCCGCATATTAAAAAAATAATAATAATAATAAAAATTGATTTAAAATCTCCCTCCGAAAAGCAAAAAAAAAAAAAAAAAATGAATGCTTTGAATTTTAATAAGCGAAATAAAAAATTAATAATAATAATAATAATAATAATAATAATAATAATAACCAATTGGTTTTTTTTCATTACGAAGAGGGGAGGGGAGGGGGAAACCAAAGTTAACGTTAAAAAGAAAGAAAAAAATTTTTTTTTCTTTACTCGTAAAAGTAGTTATTATTAAAAAAATTAATTAAAATAATAATAATAATAATAATAATAATAATAATAATAATAATAATAATAATAATAATAATAATGAAATTATTAACGGAATGCGTAAAAGATTAATGAAAAAAAAAAAAAAATTAAATTTTTAATAATAGTAATGATGATGAATCGGTCGGTTGGTAATTGTGAGAAAATTTTATATTTTCCAAAAAAAAAAAAAAAAATAATAAGAGGTAGAATTAATAACGTCGCGTTTATGTATTAATGATAAATAAATAAATAAATAATGAAGAAAACACGTGATTTTTTTTCCACCCGTAAGAATAACAACAAACAACAAACAAACAAACAAACGGTCGATCAAAAGAATGGTTAGATGATGATGATTGTTATTCACAGTTGAGGGTTTTATTATTTCTAATGACAGGAAACCATAAAAAAAAAAAAAAACTCGACTTAAGAAATCTTATATATGGTCGGTTGGTCGGTTAAATGGAGGAGGATTGACAGGATTTTTATATAAATTATTATTATTATTATTATTAATTATTGAATTAATGTGAAATAATAATTGTTCGTGAGAAGAAAAGGCAAAATTTTGTCCCCCGAGGGACTAAAAAAATGCTAATAATAAATAAAATAGCTAGCCAATTGATTATTATTATTATTATTATAATATTTTTTCTCCTAGTCGCAATAAACTTGGATTCTTGAAGATTGTTTTTTTTTTTTTTTTTTTTTTTGCGGGGAGCAATAAAAAAAAACGTGAACTCACCTTTACCGGACTAATTAACTCGGACGTTGTTTTAGGCTCACGACGGTGAACCATGGAAGACCTCGTCAACCTTCTAGAAGTCTGCCTGATCTTTTCGACTTCGTTTGCGTGCAAGAATGGTAGCGATTTCAACTTTGTCTTCTCCTTGAGTGCCAGCTCGTCCGCTTTTGACCTCCTCACTTCGTTTCCTTTGTGCTTGTTTTTGTGTCTGATCACGTCGTTTTTTTCTATTTTATAAACTTCGTTTTCAATTTTTTTATACTTCCATTGATTTTTAATTTTTTTCCCTTCTTTGTGTGATGATGATATTTTTTTACCATTCGAATTATTATTATTATTATTATTATCTCTGTTGTTATCGTTTGATAATTTGTGTTTTAAATGCCTTTCTTTAAAATCATTTGGCGGAGATGTGGGTATTATGTTACTCGTCAAATGTACGTCGTCTTCGTCGTCGAAATCATCGAAAAAAGGATCGGCTTCGGAGAAAACGACCAAATAGGAAAATGTTTTAAATGGATGTTCGGGTGTGTTAACCGTTGGATTTTTAAGAAAATGTTTGAGGGGCACAAGCGGTGAATACGTCGTCTTGTCCAGTCTTTTGGGAGCTTCGAATTGAACACCGAGTAGTAGTTCCACGGGTCCCTGAGCATTTATAAGCAATTCCCGAATTATCGGTGTCACATCCAAAGTGTGCCAACCCCCTTTTGTCAAATGCGATACGGGTAGGGAAGCCAATTTCATTGTTTTTGCATCTTCGTTAAATATTTTACGCCTGTAATCTGGTTGAATTTGATAGAGTATAACGCGATAGGGTGATGGTAAAAATTTTTTATGATAGTTAACGTGCGTTTTTGTAAGTCTTCTTCTATGTAGATGCAATTGAGCTAATGTTACTTCTTCGTTATCCCCAATAACTGATACGTTAAAGAAAAGCATTTCATTTAACGATGGCAAATCTTTTCTCATCCATTTTTGCTTTCCTAAAACAAACAACAACGATAATAATAATAATAATTTTTTCGTTTTCTCTTTTTAAAGTACAAATCACATTTACACAATATTCAGAGCATGGAATTATTGTTTAAATTTTATGCGGTCATATTAAATAATAAGAGAAACGATAACAATAAAAATAAAAAACTTATAAAATATTAAAAATCGTAAAAATTTATTTTGTTATTGTAACGTGAACTTTTTTCTATTGCCTACACACGCACGCACCGCACGCGCACACACGCACACACGTGAATTATAAAGCCTTAAAATCAAACTGTTGAGATTTCAATTAAGCCCACACAAATTCGGTCGACATATAGGTCATAATAAAAACTTTGACTATGACAGGTAATAAATATTTGTGTATCCGAAGCGGTAAACGCGTACACATAAAGAATACGTTCATTATTTTAACCAGTCGAAAGAGAGAGAGAGAGAAAACACTTGAAGCAATGATGAAAATCTTTATTTATTCGGCACCGTGTTTTTCATTTTTTTTTTTAATAGGGTAGAAGTTAACGCCTAAACAAACAAACAAACAAACAAACAAAAATTTTTTTTTATATTGCAAATCACTATGAAAAATAGTAATAATAATAATAATGCAAAATATTTACATACACATATTCTCTCTCTCTCTTTTTTTTAAAAAAAAAATAAATAAATAAATGGCAATAAAAGAATAAAAAAAAAATTTTTATTTTTTATTTTTTATATTTTATTTATTTAATTTATGACTTTTAAATGTGATAATGAATCGACTTTTTTGTGCTTTAATAATAATAATAATAATAATAATAATAATAGTTTTTTTCTTTTTGATTAATTTATTAAATCTGGCATTTAAATAAAAAAAATAAACATTCGAATGATGACGGGAATTTTTGCTTAAAAAAATAAATAAATAAATAAAAACTTATTAAACGGTTAATTCAATAAATTATTATAAGAAAAATAAACTTTTATTATTATTATTATTATCATCATCATCATGAAAGTTACATAAAAATTTGTATAAAGTTTTAAATAAAGAAAAAAAAAAGTAACGGTCAAAAACGTTTAAAAATAAATTTTTTTAAAAAATTTTCCTCCTGTGTTTGCTCCATAAAACGATCGTTAAACGCTAATAAAATTCATTATTAACATTATTATCATTATTATTATTATTATTATTATTATTATTATTATTATTATTATTAATTTTTTATAAGTGGTTTCAGCTGCTGTAAATAAAAGAAAAAAAAAAAAAACCC